AATTTATCAAGTTGAATCAACCCTTAAATATTATGCTCATCAATTCTAGACACCCGGTAGAACTGTCATATTTATGTGAGTTTAAAGCTGCTATTTTTTGTATTTCATGAGTTAGCTTATCGAATTACAATATAAGGTAAAACATATAAAAAGCTGAGCCGTTGGTATCTCCTCCCCCCTGAAGTTGTCTGTCTTCTGCCTTCTTACGGGACTTAAGGAAACATGGTCTCTTGTATCAGCAAAAGGCAACACCTAATAACTAGAAGAACGGTTTTGGTCATCGTGTTCCTATAAGAAAGCCCTTGGAGAATCAGCGATGTGCGTCTTCAACGCCAATGACTTCTTGCGAAGAAAACTATGTTTTTCTTCCGTGGTCTTCGTGAAAATGGTGGACTCGGACAGTTCCTCGATGGAATGGGTTTTCTGAAGTTTGAGAAGCCTCTTTGCACAAGTCAGTTTCCCCACAATTCGAAAATCACCTTTTTTTTTGTTTTTTCCAGAGATAGTTTAATCGGGTACAGAAAATTGATTTGCGCGATGCAGATCAGTCACTTTCAATCCTACCGACTGCGCCAGTTAGCTTATCGAATTCCAAACACCGTCTTTTCCGAGATAACTTTTATTTTTGAAATTACATTTAATTACTTGGATGTTTTACTCGTCGTGTCGCGACTCTGACTGACTGTCAAAAAGCCATTACAATATAAGGCAAAACATATAAAACGCTGAGCCGCTGAGTCGGCGGAATCTGTTAGGCTCTCGTTGGTAACTCATGCAAAACGTAAACGAACCGCATGTTTTGTGTGTTTTGTTTTTATTGTTGTAGTTTATATATATTTATAGACCACTAATTTGCTTGTAATGCACTAGTTGCTTTATTATAATTTTAATTTTATTTTCAAATCAAATGTTTTTTTTCCAATTTTAATTGCACAAAATTTTCCCCTTTGCTAGGATAGCGTTAAAAAATGAAATAAATGAAATTTTGCCGCGAACAACGCCGCGTGACCGCAGCGTCTCGCCCGCCCCCGCCTCGCCCGGAAAACTATTTTTCAATTATTCGCCTATCAGTTCGCACAATAATTTACTAACGTCGATCGGACCGACAGCGGCGGCGGGCGGCGACGACTGGTTATAAAAAAAAACAAATCGATTTGTTCGGGGTGCGACAGACAATACGCGGGAATTGCCCCCCTTCCGCCGCTCCGACATTAATTCCGACTCGGAAATCCCCTTTTATTAAAACAATCCGAGCACTCTCGCGTCGATTAAAAATGTTTATATTTTCCAATTTTACGTCCCGCTTCGCTTTGTTTGTCCGCGAAAATGCTGTCCGACCTGTCGTCACGCAGGACGAGAGCGATCAAAATGTTGTCCCCATAAACGTGTGTGATTATCTATCGGTTCCGATTTTAATTTTTTTAATTACGCGAGGCCCAAATGCGAGTCCAATAATTTTGGTTCCAAAATATAGAGATATGATAAAATAAAATGAGTTTGGGAACAGTTTTTAGAGTAATTAAATAACAGTATCTTGAACTGAGGTGGCTTTTACTTGATGAAAATCCATTTATCAAAATAAATAAGAAATAAAAGTTCAGATTTTTACGAAATTGTATATTTTTACATGATAATTGTTTCGACAACATTGTATCTTTATCAAACATTTTTCGGTATATATAGTAGCAGGTAGTTTGTAAATATTACATTTGGTAAAGACACAACACACATGTGTCATGTGAAAATATATAATTTCGTGAAAATCTGAACTTTTTAATTTTTGAATAAATTTTTGCAAATTTACGCAAATGCATTCATGTAACATGACCTAAAATCTACCTTTTTGAACCAAACATTTATAGTTTTTGCATTCCTGTTAAAATGTTTTGTTTTTTTTTTTATTTGTGTTTATGCAATGGATAATACAATTTATTCAATTTTAAAACTTCTTGGCCATCGCGTACTTATTTAATTTATGAGACATTTTTAATCTTCTAAATAGTTCCTTAAGGATCTTACCGCAAAAGTTTTCCCTCTAGGTTTCTAATGTATTAGGATTTAATGAAGGATTTAGGCCTAGAAACCTCCTGAAAGCGCACAAGGTGGTTTCGATATTTCCAATATTTTGAATTTTAAAAAATTGATTTATACAATCGATACAAAAATTTACTAGATCTAGTACTGGTTTAGTTGTAACGAAACGAAATGTTGTCGATGTATTGGACGCTCTTTAGAATAAATAAATAATAAAACAAATGCATTTTAGAGGTAACAGTTACTACTGATATAAATACTAATTATTATTTTTTCTACACCCGTCTGTGATATGCCTAATTACACGCCGATTTAGCGTGCGGGAAGCGTCACTTTACCACGTCAGTTTCGTTTGCCATCACTCCGAACCAGTTCAGACATTGCTGGGATTTTACCGCACGGCATTTCCCCGCCTTAAGTTTTGACGTTTGTCAGTTCTGACGGTCATGTCAGTGAATGTGTGTTTGCGAAAATGTACCTAAAAACTAACGGTCGTAGAAAAAGTATAGTATGCAATACGTTGGGTAAACTTTTGAAGTCACTCGTTTATTAAAAACTCGCTCCGCTCGTGTCAAAAAAATAACTAAATAAATAAATAAAAATAAGGCGCGTATACAGTCCAATAACATTTACTTTTATTTAACGAATATAACGAAACGAAAGCGGAAAGTTAACCCGAGCAGGAAGAATATCAGTCTGACGACGCATTTCTTTATTTCATACCGCCCGATAATAAATCCTTTTCGCCCTACCAATCGGCGCCATCAGATAAACAAAAACATTTGAGAACCCCTTATCCTCAGGTATTTGAAACACTTTTTCAACTGGCACTCTTTGACCGGAAGCGGCGTTCATAACAAACATCGAAAAATATCCAGCAATAAATAATTTTAACTGGTCTTCCGCTGGTTTCTAACAATATACTATTTTCTAATATCTTCTTTAAAATACCCAATTATACACCCATCTAGCGTGCGGAAAGTGTCATTTTACCCGCACGGGTTTGGGAGTGTTAATTAAGTACTCGCTCCGCTTGTGCTAAATAAATGCCGTTTACCACACTTGTTGCATAATGTACTATGTTTTTTACATTTATAACGCAATAGTATATTATGCAACAAGTGCGGTAAATGGAATTTGACTGACGAGTTTATTTGGCGCGAGCGAAGCGCATCGGAGCGAATGTTTAATAAACGAGTAACTTACGGAATGTGTTGCATACTATACTTTTTCTACGACCGATTTTGGGTACATTTTCGTAAAACATCTCGCATACAATCACTGATATGACCGTCAGAACTCGAATGCCGTTTACCACACTTTTTGCATTATATATAATGTTTTTTATATTTACAACCCAATAGTACATTATGCAACAACTGCGGTAAACGGAGCGAATGTTTGATAAATGAGTGACTTAAAAAGTTTACCGAACGTGTTGTATACTCTACTTTTTCTACGACCGTTTTTGGGTATATTTTCGCAAAAAAACACAAATACATTTACTGGCATGACCGTCCGAATTGACAAACGTCAAAATTCAAAGCATGGGAAATATCCCCGAAAACATTCGATTGCTCCCAAATCCGTGCGGTAAAATCCCGGAAATGTCCGAAGTGGCTCGGATTCGTGGGAAAGGAAACTGACGTGGTAAAGCAACGCTTCCCGCACGCTAATTCGGTGGGTAATTAGGTATTTTACAGACTGGAGTAGAAAATAGTATATTATGCAACAAGTGCGGTAAACGGCATTTGACCCACGAGTTTATTTGACACGAGCGGAGCGAGTGTTTAATAAACAAGTGAGTTAAAAAATTTACTGAACGTATTGCATGCTATACTTTTTCTACGACCGTTAGTTTTTAGGTACATTTTCGCAAAACACGAATACATTCACTGACATGACTGTCACAACTGACAAACGTCAAAATCCAAGGCGTGGGAAATATCTCCGAAAACATCCGATTGCTCCCAAACTCGTGCGGTAAAATCCTGGAAATGGCCGAAGGGGGCTCGGATCTATGGGGCAAGCAACTTACGTGGTAAAGTGATGTTTTCCGCAGGCTAAATCGGTGTGTAATTAGGTATTTTACAGACGGGAGTAGAAAGAAATATTTACTACTTAACGTATTAGTGATAAGCGGGAGCCTTATTCTACCATGTATCGCGTTGACCTTTATCCGTTAGTAAGAGTACACCTTTTTTCTTCTCGTGTGCGCAAGTTTGACATAAAGAATAAAATAAAACATTACTAAAGGAAGCGGTGGAAAGTGCATATTTACAAATAAAACATGAAATTTGTTTCGAGGAGACATGTGACGTCACTGCTCCCGTCCAATTGGCTTAAATAAAGTGCTCTTTGGTTTACCGTCCTGGGCCAAAAGTCATTGTATTAAAACTATACAGCTACTAGACATATGAAGACTCAGCCTATGCCGATAATATAGGACGGTTCATGCTCGAGATTAAAAATCTGTTTTAAAAAAAAAGAGCCTTGCGGCATTGACCAACCAACAGATCACCAATAAATTTGGATGCGGCATTTTTACGGCAGTATTTTCTGTGTGTGGAAATAGCTACTTAGAAAGAAAATGGGCGGAAAACCATTCCCTTTTGTATGAAAGTATCAATGCCGTCTGCGGTGCATCAGTTTTTACCGTAGTAGAGGCGCTAAATTATCTAATTAAATAGCCATATTTAGTAATAATAGTTATCAAACATTTTAGTCCTTATCAGTTTCTCAGAATTCCACATTTTCTTAAGTATAATTAGTCGTTTTATTTAAGATATTCATTCTGAAAAAAATATACAGGGTCAGAGGAAATTAGCTGTCATTTGTAAAACATAGGTTTCTTACCGGCAGTTGAAAAAAATAAACGACCCAAGAAACCACAGCAATACCCATTGAAACACTATCAAACGGGACTGTGTCGGAACAAAACAATCTCAAATGTTTGTTTTTTATAGGTGAAACGAGAGGGAGCGATGTCGAGGACGGCGCTCAGTCCTGTGGGAGAACGAACAATGAAAAAGGAATATTAGCCGCGTACGAAGAAAAATGTCGCTGGGGAGTTGCCACGCCGCTGATATTTGTTCGGGCTACAGTCTCATTGACTGCGTTAAGAAAGGTATACATATGATCCACCATGGTGAATTTTGAAATAAAATCAATTCATATCAAAGTTTTAATGTCCGACGAACGTATAATTTCCATTTTAAATGTAGTATCGGCCAAATAATTTTTTTTTATGAAAACACCGGTTGGAGACTATATTGCCTCTGCAAAACCTCGTTAATTTAAACAATGCTACCTAACTAGCAATATCTAAAAATAAGTTAAATTTTTAGAGACATTTCCCAAGTAACTATTTACGCGGAAAGGTTGTTAAATTTACGAGTTTTTATTTAAGGGTAAAAATCGCATGGCGATATCTTTTTTGGGCCAAATATATAAATTTCCGTTATTACAAAAATGGAAACAACTTTCTTATTTGATAATATAGCAGTGATATAGCTATGGACTTAAAAAGACCTGTGCTGAGCCGTTTTCAATAATGCGTTATTGGTATCTGTAGTAAAAAACGTTTTTTTTTTTGTAGTAAATTTTTTTTTTTTTTTGTGTATATGTGATGTATTATTCTGTATTGGATTTTGTGTTTTGTCACAAATAGTTAGTCGCCAAACTTAAGCTTTAAATTCATTTAAAATTTAACATGGTGTCAAGATTATATGGTATTGCTATTGGTATTGGTATTAAAGGGGGGCGTCCTCGCGTGCGTCCAAGCACTTAGGCCACCAGATGGGCCCGTTGTGCCCTCAGGCCGCTCTAGAGGGCGTCCAGAATGCCGCCCCTCCTATAGAAGGTCAGCAATTCCTTTAGCCCAATACCGTGCACTGAATCCGGATCGATCAAGGCCGTTCCGAAGACTCCCAATCTTGCCCATGTCAAAGCAGGGCACTCGGTGAGCAGATGATACGGGGTCTCCTCCCCTTCCATGCACCACCTTCACTCCGGGTCGTCTCGCCTCGCCTGCCTCATTTCCGGACCAACTCTCCAGCCCCCCGCGGCCCGGTCTCACGCCCAGGCTTCGAGAGCTCCCCGCCTCACACACGGGGCGATCCCCAAGCGGGGCTCTGACCCTATATGCCTATGCGGGGAGCCCTCTCTGGCTAAGGCGTCCGCTGCCTCATTGCCCCGGACACCGGTGTGACCCGGGACCCAGACCAACGTGACCTTCCTCTCCTCAGCCACTCTCCTCAGTACCCCTTTGCACTCCTTTATCAACAAGGAGTGCGTACGCACTGACTTCAGCGCCATAAGTGCAGCCCTACTATCCAAGCAGAAGAAGACCCTCCTGCTTCCGTGGTTGAGCCGAAGCACCTCTCTGGCCGCCATCAATAAAGGGAAAATTTCCGCCTGAAACACAGTGCAGTACTAACCCAGAGGAACCGACAAGCTCGATCCCGTTGTCTCGCAGTACGCTCCAGCTCCGGCCAGGTCTCCCATTCTGGACCCGTCCGTGTACCAGACAAGTCCATCCCAGGAGCCGACTCTGCCCTCTCTCCACTCTTCCCTTGATGGGAGGAGAAAGGAATTTGTCAAAGAAGGTCATGTCAGGGATCATGACGTCACTCGGCATGCTCATGACCCCGCGATCCCCGCGACAGCCCTCTAAGATTATATGATATGACAAAGTATTACATATTGTTTAACGAAAACGTAATACAAGAAACACTCAAAATCTACACTATTATTGAAATAGAACAAACTGCCCATCCTGGTAACATAACACCTGGTTATTATTTGTAAAATATGACATGTGTTTTGCCCACACGTTCATCATCAGACCCATAAAAGCAATTTTTGAAATAATAGAAACTTACATAAATTAAGGATACGCACATGCAAAGACGGCGACTCAAACGTGCACACACAAATTGGATTGAGACCGAATCTGTTTTATTTTACCCAGAACACAAAAAATCTGATAAGATTATACCGAGACCTGCACTTTATATTGTTAACAAAATAATGTCGACTCAAAATTAAAAACGTCATTGACGCAATGTAGGATAAGTCTCTTTTTGGTTTTGGCCATTTCTAATTTCTCCAGAAGATCAAGTTTCTTACTTTTTGGGCACCCATGTAAAACAATGACATTTTTATTTGGTGATAAGTTATACCCCGTGCACAAAGGATGAATAGCGAAAGCAAATTTGATCTCTGTCAACTCAGTGTCCTTGTATTTTTTCACCAAACTAAGATATTCGTGAAGATCTTCCTGCCAGACTGCCCCATATAAACTGCATTACAATCCTCACAGTTCAAAGAATATACTCCCTATCTGGAAAAATAATCTCTTACATCCTTACCTCTTATTACAAATTGTTTACGTGTATTGTTTGTTTTAAACGCTACAAATAAATTCCTTCTCTTGAACAATTTAGCTAGGTGTAACGAAATATCACTGAAATAGGTCAAGCATTGGAACATTGGAGGTTTTGATTTTATTACATAATACGATACGATACGATAACAAAGTGAATAACCGTTATTGAATATGATTTGTCTAATCGTCGTCAATTCCTTATTAAATGCTCACTTTGAAAGTGGAATGTTAAAAAGTATCCCCGATTTCCTTCTCCAACGTAAAGTAATTTTTTTCAAGGAAGGGATTGCGTTTGTTGGCTACCAATTTGTGTCTGTGTGCGTTTGAGTTGACGTCTTTGTATGTGCATATTCTTAATTTATATAAGTTTATATAAGTAAAACAAACGGTCGTAGAAAAAGTATATTATGCAACACGTTCGGTAAACTTTTTAAGTCACCCGTTTATTAAAAACTCGCTCCGCTAGTGTCAAATAAACTCGTGAGTCAAATGCCATTTACCGCACTTGTTGCATAATATACTATTATAGATCTGTTGATGCCCGTGCGGGCGAAACACATGTAACATTTTACAAATAATAATTTTTGAGACATCGACTTCGGAGTTTAATTGAATAGTTTTACAGCGGCGACCCCGTCAAGTGCAAGAGTGATAGACTTGTTGAAATATTTTTGTTCTTACCATAACCTTGTTCAAAAAACTATGATTATTAACGCTGGTGGTCAAGAGGGCCCTTTGCGAGTTGGTTCCATCATAGAGCCACCATCCTCGTCTTTTTCTTAAGATAATAAATAATTCTAGTAACCATTCATGAAGTCTGGTTACAGAATCAATCTTTCACAATTTTAAGAATACAGTTTACTTCCTAATAAACGATTCTCTGAGTTCTATTGATTTGGAGGGGTTACGGGGGGATCTCTTGATGAAATGCTTACGTTATTTTATAATGTTCTTTATAGGATAATCCAAAGATTTGTGCCTCTCAAAACGCTAGCTCCAAGCAAGTTTCCTATATAGTTTACACAAAATTTCTCTTGAAAAAAATTGCACACAAAAAATTTAAGTATTCTAATTCTATTGATGACTGGCGAGACCTCTATATCTCATTTTTAATGAATCACTGAAGCTTTAAATTCTTTTAAAATTTTAAATGGTGTCAAGATGATATGATATGACAAAATATTATATATTGTTAAACGAAAACACATTATATTAAAATAGCCTACTCTAATTACAGGTAATACAAGAAACACACGAAATCTACACTATTATTCAAATAAAACAAATTGCCCATCCTCAAAGAGACCTGGTTATTGTAAAATGTGACGTGTGTTTTGCCCACACGATCATTATCAGACCTAAAAAAGCAATTTTTGGAATAATAAAAAAACTTACATAAATTAAGAATACGCATGCACATGCAGAGACGTCGACTCAAACGCGCAATGCTTACGTTATTTTATAATGTTCTTTATAGGATAATCCAAAGATTTGTGCCTCTCAAAATGCTAGCTCCAAGCAAGTTTCCTATATAGTTTACACAAAATTTCTCTTGAAAAAAATTGCACACAAAAAATTTAAGTTTTTTAATTCTATTGATGACTGGCGAGACCTCTATATCTCATTTTTAATGAATCACTGCATTTGGGCATGTTTCTAAACTTCTGGAATATATCTATAAAACAGGAGAACGTCCCGATGTTATAAATTATTGATCTGTATCCGGTCCCTACCAATGTTGTTCGAAAACACAGTTTTTAAATCCCTTTTTCAAAAATAGAATTATAGATCATTAATATGGCATTCAATAGTTAAGGTCAACAACATTGAATTTGATTACGTACGTGGACTCAATCGCTGGTGCTTTGGATTTTTACAAAGCCTTTGATAGGGTGGATTATGCAATGAGCTTAGTAAACTGTGTGGAGAAAGTATTACAGCTAAACCTTTGGAGTGCATCGAGTAATATCTGGGGGGATGCAGTCAGGTTGTTTGACTTGGAAATTTCTCATATATGTCCTGCCTGTTTTCATAAAGGTGCGATGGTGTTACTTGAATGGTATGGATCCCAATCTCTCAAAATGCTTAAGTATCTCGTTTCACCGCCATCGGGATCCTATAGTTTACGAATATACTTGGATGAATGAAAACCTGAAAGCGGCTTCAATGTTAAATCCTTTGGCGTGCTCTTCGAAAGCGGCTTTACCTTCACATGTACCACAGGACCAACTATGAACGTAATTCATTCATTGTAAAGGCCGGCTAATGAGAACGAGCATTTTAATTTTTTCACTACTGAGAATAGAAATCAGTGTCGAGCAAGCACAACATAATATGATCCAACATGAACCTCTATCTGATTATTATTATTTTCATTTTATTTTTTTTTCTCCTTAGCTTGTAACATAAGTTTTTACTTGTACTTTTCAGTTTTGTAACAGGTAAACCTAAACCTGTAATTCAATTGTGCATCTTCCCTAAGTTCTTATGTAAAAATTAACTCTGTCAGTGAATTCAAAATAAATAAAAAACAAAAATGTTTTACCTAAAATGCCATAATCCGACAAATACATTTTTTAAAATGATAATGTAGATTTCGTGTGTTTCTGCAGTATTTACATTTATCCTCAATATCTGAGAGAATGATCGAATTTTTTAAGCTAATTTAATTATTTCCTAAAATTAATCTTAACAGCTTATTTTGCTTTCTTTTCCTTTCTTCTTAATATTAAAAGCAC